AGCCCTTTCCTTTCTTTTTCTTTTTTTTTTTGAGACGGGGTTTTGCTCTTGTTACCCAGGCTGGAGTGCAATGGCGCGATCTCGGCTCACCGCAACCTCTGCCTCCCGGGTTCAGGCAATTCTCCTGCCTCAGCCTCCTGAGTAGCTGGGATTACAGGCACACGCCACCATGCCCAGCTAATTTTTTGTATTTTTAGTAGAGACGGGGTTTCACCATGTTGACCAGGATGGTCTCGATCTCTTGACCTCGTGATCCACCCACCTCGGCCTCCCAAAGTGCTGGGATTACAGGCTTGAGCCACCGCGCCCGGCCTTTTCCTTTCTTTTTATTTTGAGGCGGAGTCTCATTCTGTTGCCCAGGTTGGAGCTCAGCAGTGAGACATTGGCTCACTGAAAACCTCCACCTCTCAGGTTCCAGCTATTGTCCTGCCTCAGCCTCCGGAGTAGCTGGGATTACAGGCACTCGCCACCAGGCCCAGCTAATTTTTTTTTTTTTTTTCTTTTTGAGATGGAGTATTTCTCTGCCACCCAGGCTGGAGTTCAGTGGTGCGACCTCGGCTCACAGCAACCTCTGCCTCCCAGATTCTTGCAATTCTCCTGCCTCAGCCTCCCGAGCAGCTGGGACTCAGGTTGGAACTTGTGTCCCAACCAGGTGGGGCAGTTGGGAGCTTCCCCACCTGGCATCCTTTTGGGTTTTAACGTTGGCTTCAATAAATAGGCGTGATTCACAATCATGAAGAAATGTAATTGGGCCCAAAATTAGTGAGATCTCATATTAGTAGACGGACTGGGGAGCCCGGTGGGGCCTGTGTGTCCAGATTCCTCCCGGTCTGTGGGCAGCTTTCCTTCCTCCAGGGTATGGGGCATGACCCTCTCTGGGATGAGGTCTTTGGGCTCCCAATCAGAGTCCTGCCTGGGGTGGGGAAAGAAGAGCAGAAAGTCAGAGAGAGATTCCGTTTCCCCAAGGTCTGTGCCTGAGGACTAAAGAACCCATATGTGGCCGGGCGCGGTGGCTCATGCCTGTAAATCCCAGAACTTTAGGAGGCCAAGGCGGGCAGATCACCAGGTCAAGAGACCAAGACCATCCTGGCCAACATGGTGAAACCCTGTCTCTACTAAAAAAAAATACAAAAATTAGTTGGGCGTGGTGGCACACACCTGTAGTCCCAGCTACTCGGGAGGCTGAGGCAGAATTGCTTGAACCTGGCAGGCGGAGGTTGCAGTGAGCCGAGATCAGGCCACTACCCTCCAGCCTGGCAACAGAGCAAGACTCCCTCTCGGGGGTGCGGGGGTGGGGTACAAAAGGAACTCATAAGGACATCAGGAAGCTGTTTGCCAGCAGCTTCCAATGCTAGCGCACATATATTCTATCACCCAGCTCTTCCTCTACTGCTCCCAATAGAAATGCACGAATACATCCATCAAAGATATGGAGCCACCATGCCCAGCAATCCCTTTTTTTTTGTTTGAGACAGAATCTTGCTCTGTTGCCCAAGCTGGTGTGCAATGGGGCAATCTCGGCTCACTGCAACCTCCATCCCTGGGTTCAAGCGATTCTTCTGCCTCAGCCTCCCCAGTAGCTGGCATTATAGGTACCCAACCAACATGCCCAACTGACTTTTTTTTTTTTTTTTTTTTCTTGAGACGGAGTTTCACTCTTGTTACCCAGACTGGAGTGCAATGGCGCGATCTTGGCTCACCACACCCTCCGTCTCCCGGGTTCAGGCAATTCTCCTGCCCCAGCCTCCTGAGTCGCTGGGATTACAGACACGCGCCACCATGCCCAGCTAATTTTTTGTATTTTTAGTAGAGACGGGGTTTCACCATGTTGACCGGGATGGTCTCGATCTCTTGACCTCGTGATCCACCCACCTCGGCCTCCCACAGTGCTGGGATTACAGGCTTGAGCCACCGCGCCCGGCCCTTGTTTTTGTTTTGAGACAGAATCTCACTCTGTCTCCCAGGCTGGAGTGCAGTGGTACGATCTTGGCTCACTGCAACCTCCGCCTCCTGGGTTCAAGCAATTCTCCTGCCTCAGCCTCCTGAGTAGCGGGGATTACAGGTGCCCTCCAGGATGTCTGGCTAATTTGTTGTGTTTTTTGTAGACATGGGGTTTCATCATCTTGGCCAGGCTGGTCTCAAACTCCTGACCTTAAGTGATTTGTCTCTCTAGGCCTCCCCAAGTGCTGGGATAACAGGCATGAATCACTGTGCCTGGCCTCCCCACCCTCCACCCCTTTTTTTAAGATGGGGAATCTAGGCTGGGCGCGGTGGCTCAAGCCTGTAATCCCAGCACTTTGGGAGGCCGAGGCGGGTGGATCACGAGGTCAAGAGATCGAGACCATCCTGGTCAACATGGTGAAACCCCATCTCTACTAAAAATAAAAAAAATCAGCTGGGCATGGTGGCGTGTGCCTGTAATCCCAGCTACTCAGGAGGCTGAGGCAGGAGAATTGCCTGAACCCAGGAGGCGGAGGTTGCGGTGAGCCGAGATCGCGCCATTGCACTCCAGCCTGGGTAACAAGAGCGAAACTCCGTCTCAAAAAAAAAAAAAAAGATGGGGAGTCTGACTATATTGTCCTGGCTGGCCTTCATCTCCTGGGCTCCAGTGATCCTCCCTAAACTCCGGGATTACAGGTGTCAGCCATCCTGCCCACCAGGATGTAAGTTATTTGTCAGATATATGTGTTGTAAATATCTTACCCCAGTTTTTATTGCTATTGCTTTCTTTCTCTCTCTTTTTTTTTTTTTTAATTTTTATTATTATTATTATTTTTGAGACGGAGTTTCGCTCTTGTTACCCAGGCTGGAGTGCAATGGCGCGATCTCGGCTCACAGCAACCTCCGCCTCCTGGGTTCAGGCAATTCTCCTGCCCCAGCCTCCTGAGTCACTGGGATTACAGGCACGCGCCACCATGTCCAGCTAATTTTTTGTATTTTTAGTAGACACGGGGATTCACCATGTTGACCGGGATGGTCTCGATCTCTTGACCTCGTGATCCACCCGCCTCGGCCTCCCACAGTGCTGGGATTACAGGCGTGATCCCCCGCGCCCGGCAAATTTTTTATTTATTTATTTATTTTTTTTCGAGACGGAGTTTC